GCTCACACACACAATGACACACTGCACATGCACATAGGAACCAGCTCCTTGAGGCTGGGAGCTGGTTCCCTGGTTAGCTGCCTACTTGCTCCTGCAGGGTCTGCCCGGCCCCGGCTCCCTGACGTCAGCCCCTGGGGCACCGGGAGGCCGTGTGCTGCTGATGGCTTGGCTCGTGCTGCTGAAAGGCCTGCTGCATGTTTGGCACAGAGAGCGCCTGAGAAATCCTGGAGTGACTGGCCCCGGCGCGCTGGCTAATCCCTGCCAATCCTCACGGGGCCGAGCTGACTCCATGGGGCAGACACAGGGGCTTAACAATGCTGCCGTGAGCATGCAATGAATGCCCCAGCGCTGCAGCCACCTTGGAAATCAGCGTCAGACGTGAGCCGTGCTGGGACTGGATGTGTCCAGCGCTGGGCTAGGAGACTGGCACTTGGGGATCCTCTGCCCAGCAGCCCCTTGGTGTCACACTGACACGGGAGTCAGGGAGGTGAAACGCCCCCCTCAGAGCAGCTGGGTCTGACCTCGCAGCCCAGGGGCAGGGCATGGGGCCTCCAGGCCCAGACCATTCTGTGGCTCCTCCCGATAAGTAAAGCCACCAGGCAGCACCCCACAGCCCTGCCTCGCTCCCTGGGCAGACCCCAAGGAGCCGGCCCATTGCCCTGGGTGAAGCAGGGCGAGGAGCGCTGCCCAGACGGACGCCAGCACAGGGCCTGGTGTGGCAACTGGCACCGAACGGCCACGTGCCTCCCCAGGGGTTTGCAGACCCCACGCGGCCTGGGAACGAGGGGTGGGGGAGTCCCCAGACAGGGGCCAGGTCAGCCTGGGGCCGAGGGGCAGGATCACGTTGCTGAGACACGGTCCCTGGAACATCCCGCTCCGGAAGACACCACACGGCCACAGGCTCCGAGGGGTTAACAGCGCCGTGGCCAGCGCCAGCGCCGGCCCCTGACAAATCCGAACCAGATGGGGCTGGCGCTGCTGCTGGAGCTGCCGCTCCTTGGTCCCAGTGATGTCTCTAAGCCCTACCACTCCCCACTACCCCCTGGCTCCCCCAGGGCGCCTCCCTCTCCCAGCTGGGGCAGCTGCTCCTGCCTTCACGAGCAGGGTGCTCTGACCTCAGGCAACACAGAGCTTGGCCTTGGGGCTGCAGCTCAGGCTGCCCGTAGGTGTCTGGGCCAGGATGGTTCCAGCCCATCGCAATGCAGCCCTGCAGCAAGCGGAGCCCGCTGCCAACGGGTGGGCACTGGGCAGGCAGCGGCCCCGGGAGAGCAGCTGCTTGCACCATCTGGGGGCTTGGCTGAGCAGCCCCCCTGCACTTCCCCTGGGAGAGGGCCCCAGACACGGCAGCCCCCACTGGAGTAGGGACCCTATGCATGCCAGGCTGCCCAGGGGCTGGGGGCACCCCGCTGGGCCCACGTGCAAGGACAGGGGTAGCCCATTGCCTGCAGGGTGGGGCCAGCTCTGCACCTTGTGGCCGGCTCCTGGACCCCTTGTGGGGTCTCCCAGCCAGCAGTCGGGCTCACACCATGCGCATCCTGTGCAGTGCCTGAGCCAAGGGGCTCCCGTGGGCCATGAGCAGTTGCACTGTGGAGGGCGCCTCCTGCTGGGATGGGCCAGGACATGTGGCGCTGGGTCCCCACTGCTGGGTGCCACGTGAAGGCTGGGTTCCCCCGGCTCCTGGGAGCGCCGTGTGAAGACCAGACCCCAGTGCCATCAGGGGACACGCAGCTCCTTGTCCAACAGGCGCATTGAGGTGCTGTGTCTGTACATCTCCAAGCTGTGCGTCTGCCCCCCCCCCCCCGGTCCCTGTACCACTGCCAGCCGCTGCCCCACTCCCTGCCAGGCTGGCAGGAGAGATGGGCGAGGCTGCCGGCCCACAGCTCCCCGTCGCGGCCAAGGTCCCGTCAGTGTGGGGGGCGTCCCAGAGCAGCCATGTGGGCCCTGTTACCAGGGAAACCACTTCCTCTGTCTGGACATGCTGGGAGCAGCTGCTGCAGCGGGAGCCAGGTTGGGGGAGTGGGGGGTTGAGCAGGCCCTAAGGACCTGGACGACATGGGTTCAATCCCTGCTTCTGCCATGCATTCCCTGGGTGACCCCAAGCAGGTTCCCATCCACTCTGGGACTCAGCCTGTGGCTGGCAGAAGGAGCAGCCTCTCCCACGGGGGGGGGGTCCCCCAGCTAGGGCAGCGCCATGTGGCTTGGCAATTGTGGGGCAGACTGACCTGGGAATGTCATTTAGTTTTACTGGGACTGTCTGCATGGGGGATGGGAGAGCAGGGGGTGACTTTAGGGGAGGGACGATACCTGCGCCTGTAACCTGAGCCAGGAGGGGGGGTGGGGCCAGGTGACACCTTTGCCCTGAAACTGGACAAAGGGAGAGAAGGGGGGGAGAGCCGGCTGGAGGGGTTTTTGGTTTCAGTTTTGGGCTGGCTGGGAAGAGGCAGGGAAGCCCAAGTCTGGGGTCTACGCTCCTTGTCCCCCAGAGGGACCTGACTAAGGGGTCCTGGTTGTACCTACACGCTCTGCTTGGGACTGTGTTCCTGTCGTCTAATAAACCTTCTGTGTTACTGGCTGGCTGAGAGTCCCGGTGAATCGCAGGAAGTGGGCGGGGGGGGGGGGGGGGGGCTGAGTCCCCCGCACTCCGTGACAGCAATGCCATTGGAAGATTGCCTCCCCAGCCAGTCCCAAGGGCCTGGCGCTCTGCCAGCACGCTTGGTGGGCAGGGCACCCTCTGGCAGACAGGCTGGAGTGAGCCAAGGGGTCGGCGCCGTGCTGGGCTCTGCTGGGCGATGATGGGAGGCCCCAGGAGTGGGGCAGGGGAAAGCCCCCCCCGAGCTTCCTTCCCTCTCGTCCACACATCCGCCCAGAGAGGTGATTTGAGTCTGTTCACTGCCAGCGCCACGGGGGGCTGCAGCCCAGTGGCGGGCACATGGGGAGATGACTAGGCGGGGGGAGGCATTGCTCCTTGACCCCCTGGCCGTCCTGGCTGTGAAATGCCCAGGACAGGGGCCTGGGGAGCAAGGAGTCGGAGACCCCTGCCCATGGCTGTAGCTCCTGGCAGCGTCCTGTTCCCTGCTCTCTGCACCAGGACACTGCAGGCGGTGTCAGCGGGAGACAGAAGAGCCAGCTCAGGTTTCTTGGCCAGTTTTCTCCCGTGACCCCCACACATTGGCAGCCGGGCTGGCACGACGGCGCTGTGAGGCTCCCAGGTCTGCTGCGTGCCAGCAAGCCAGAGCTGCCACGGATTCAGCCACCGGGTGAGGGATCGGTCGCCCTGGGCCTTAGGAACGTGGACCAAGGTGTTACCAGGCGGGCAAGTGAGGCCGGGTGGCTGGCGGCCCCCGCTCAGCCGCCCCAGCACCTACTGCTGGATCAGGGATGCGCCTGGGAGCAGAGCCACCAACACCCATCGCACACGGCCTCAGCCCCATTGTACATGGTGCCTGCTCTTCGCTGGCCACTGGGCCCAAGCCTCCCTGCTGAGCCCAGCAGCCCAGGGCCAGCGAGCGCCCGTCCCTGGGAACTGTCCTGATCCCCCAAGCCACCAACGGCCACTGGAGGGACACAGCTGCCAGTCACCACTGACCAGGCCTGGCTACAGGCCCGTGGCTGCCCCCAGCCAGCCTGGCTCGCCAAGGCCCAGAGGGGTTCACAGACCTGCCCTAGGCCCTGCAGTGACTCAGTGGTAGAGGGACTAGAACCCAGGTGTCCTGACACCCAGGGCCATATGCTCCCTACCTCCCTGACAGCCAGAGGGGGGCCGGGTGCAGCTGGGGGAGGGAGGGGGTTTCCCAGGCAGGGGAGGGGGCCTGGCTTCAACGAGGTGTGTTGGCTCAGGGAGGGCAGAGCCCTACACCCTCCTGCGCCAATGAGCTCAGACAGCCCCGGCCCAGGGACAGCCGTGGGTGGGAGCGGCAGGGGATGCAGCCAGGAGCCATGCTCTGCTTTATGGGACGTCCCCATCATGAGGCCCCTGCCCTGGGACCTTTCCCCCGGGGGTTCAGGAGGAAGCCGGGTGGGGGTGGCGCTGGGGGCATGCAGGGCTGTGGGTGGCTGATATGGCCCTGGGAGAGGGTGGGACGTTCTCTGTGCGCTGGGGTCCGGGCTATGTGTGGCCCTCGCTGCCTAGCTCCTGTGCCCAGCGTAGATGCCCCTTCCACCCCCAAGCCGGGGCTCACGTTTGCGAGACTCAGACTGGAGGGCTGGCCCCAGGGCCAGGGGGCTGGAGAAATGGTCCCCCTGGGCCGCTCCCTTTCAGCCCGTGTGCCTGGGGGCCGAGGTGCTGTGGGGAGAGCAGCCCCCAGAGAAGGGGGCTGGGGTCTCAAACTGCTTCCCAGGTCAGGAAGAGGAGCGAGGCTTTGCCAGCCTGCGGGTCCCGGCGGATTCCAGGCAGCAGCAACCTGCGGGCAAGGGGCCCCTCGTCCCCAGCTGGCGCCCGGAGCCCCCGGCGGCTCCCCTTGGAGCCCCGGGTTCGCGCCTCGCGGCTCCTCGAGGCGAGCTGGGAAAGTTTGAGCAACGGGGGCGCCTGCCCCCCCCCCCGCCTGAAAGCGGCTCGCGCTCAGCCCCCCCTTGCCCCGGGCCCCGCCGGGCTCTCGGGGCGGGGCAGCCCCCCCCGGGCACCAGGAACCCCCCAATTCCCATTAGCGCCGAGCCGCCCGAGCGAGCCCGCCCGCCGCGAACCCGCGGACCAGCGGCACTGGCGGTTTCAAGCTCCCCGCGACGTCAATTGATTCTGCTCCGGGGGCTGCTGGATTCGGGGCTGGGAATGCGGGGGAGGCGGCGGCGGCCGGCCCGCTGGGTGCGCCCCGGCCGGGCCCGGGGGCGGGGGTTCGGCCCGCCGGAGAACCCCTCTGCAGCCCGCGGGCCCCGGGCCGAGGAGCCGCCCAGGTCCCCGCCCGGGAGCCGGGAGCCCGGGAGCCCGGCGCGCCCCCACCCCCGCCGCAATGTAGCATTCCGCCCTTCTGCCGGGGAAGACTGGCAGCTTTTTGGGTCATGAAGCAGCTCTTGAAGTCAGGCGCCTGCCCGCCCTCCGCTGCGAGACACGGCGCGTCCGGAGCGAGCCGCCGAGCTCGGGCTCCAGGGGCCCCCGGCCGCTCTGTGCCCAGCCCGCCTGGGGTCCCCGGCCTCTGGCTGCTGCAGGCTGTGGGGCCAGCGGCCGAGACCCGAGCACTGCCCCGTGGCGGAGCACGCGCTGCTTCCCCGCCTGCAGAGCTGGGGGGCATCGCCTGGTGGGCAGGGCACCCCCGGAGGCGACACGCCAGCGCCCAAGAGCAGGGTTTGGGGTGCTGCGGGACCCCAGTGCCCATGGGCGGGGGGTGCTGTGCACTGGTGCTTGGTAGGTCCCAGCGAGCCATCTCGGGGGCTGTGGGGGTTTTGGGGGGGTCGCACCTTAGCACCTCCTAGTGGCTGCTTTGCAGACAGGAGCTGCAGCCTTAGGCATGAGACGCGTTGTCCCGGGCGGGCACAGGGCAGCTCGGCCCACCAGAGCCCTGCACCCTCCAGACCCACATGCTGCCAATAACCGCTCCTCCAGAGGGAGGGGAAAGGTGTGTTGGGGGGAACTGCCCCAGACCCACTGGCCTGGGCCAGGCAGGTCAGTCGCAGTGTGGGGCAGGGGCAGGGTGGGTGTGGGGTCAGTGGCAGCACACAACTCCCTGGCCAGTTTGTTTCTTGCAGTGACCTGGCTCTGAGGCTGGGGTCGGTCGCTGGGGTGTTTAATGCACAGACCGGGGCAGGGGTCACGGATCCCCAGGACCACAGCACTGGAACAGTCTCCTGGAGGAACCCCCTCCGTGGGTCAGACCCCAGGGGGTCTCACTCTTCCTCCAGGGGAAGCCACGCGGCGACACCGCAGGGCCTTCAGCCCCCTGCTTCCCCTGCCAGCTCCAGGCAGCGGGTCCCACCGACTCAGCCCCTGGGGGAGACTAGTGCACTCGCTGCCCCTTGCCTTGTGCTGCCTCATTAGTCACTGGTCACCGCATGGGAAGGGCCTGGGCTTAGCACAACGAATCGTCCATTCTGGGTGAGCCCCATTGTTCAAGCTCCGTCTCTCCATCTGTCTGACCCTCTTGGTCCACATTCCAGGTCAGAGCCCTGACTGTCCTCAGCAGCCAACACGTCCCACCTCAGCTCTCCCCAGCCCTTTGTTCCCGAGAGAGCCTAGATCGCTCTGGGGCGTTGGTTGCTAGGTGTTCCTGTCCAGGCAATTGGATTTGCCATTGTCTTTTCAGAGGCCCCCATTGATAAGGGGACCAAGACCCAGACCGCTAGGCGACACCCATATTTATGTCTCTGCCTGGCCTGAGAGCAAACAGCCCTTTCCCACCCCCTAGGCAACAGCGCAGCACACAGGGGAAACTGAGGGACAAACAGGGCTCATAAAAATATTACCAAAAATTCCCACTCAGGTGATTCTCCAGCCTCCTCTTCCCCCGGCTCCTGCTAACTGGGGCTGGAAGGCTCTGCCGGGAGGGGGCACAGAAAGCAATGGAGAGTTTGGCTCTGGGAAGAGGGATCCTGCAGGCCCCCCCAGCCCCACCGCAGGGCAGGCCGAGCTCCTGTGTGAGCAGAGAGTAGCCCATTGCACCGACACCCCTACTTTGTGGCTAGGAGGAGAAGCCCCGAGTCCTTCCCCTGCCTCCCTGCGGAGATGGGAGCTGCCATCCGTTTGTCGTTAGCTGCTGGGGTGACTTGGGGGAGGGCTTGTGCCTATCACAGGCTGCTCTGCTCCAGAGTCTCTCCCCCCACCCCCATCCCAGAGGCCCATAAAGCCCATAGGCTTAGAATCGGGACAGGGGCAGCGTCGCCTCTGGGACAGATTCCCAATGCCCTCACCTCAGGGGACCCCCCTCCCAGGGCTGGCCGTGCCCCATGGCTCCTGCTCGCTTCTCGGCCATGGTGCTCACCTCCCACACCCCGCCTGGTCTGGGCGCCACGGCCGCCTCCCCCATGAGCCAGGATGCGGGCGCTGGGGCCAGGCCAAAGCTCTGCCTCTGGCTCTCCCACCTGGCCCTGTGGAACCCGAGTTCCCCACTGCCAGCCCCTGCCCACAGCCCTGGTGTCTAGGCAGGGGCTCCCAGGGCCCTGGTGCCTGGGCAGGGGCTCCCCGGGCCCATGTCCCTGGCTGGGGCTCTGGACTCTGCGAATCACCCCCAGCGGATGCGAGCACCATGGGGCGAGGTCGCATGGGAGATTCCAGGGAGCCTGCCCCCGAGATGGCGGGTGGCACCGTGAGATGTGGAGTGTCCATCCAGGCCCTACGGGGGTGAGCACGGGGGGCTCAGTGTCTCTGGCTGGGGCCCCAGGCAGTGCAAGGGGGGAGCAGTGTGACACCCCCCCCCACCAGGTTTCCACTTGGCTGCTGCAGGCGCACCGCGCGGCCCAAGTGCCTCTACTGAGCTCTGCTCTCTTTGCCCAGGGCCCTTGTGACAGTGACGCTCGGGCCAGTTCCCAGGGAAGAGCTGTGTGCCCAGCACGGGCGCTCGCTGGCCAGCGACGAGCAGGTTCCTTGGACAGTAGGGCTGACGCGGCCGGGGGCTCCTCCTTTACTGCGTGGGATGGGTGTTGGACCCAGACATAGTTTCTGGGTCTCGGTGTCTGATCTCTGGGCGTGGGTCCCACTCCGGTCACAAGCTCAAGCTCTTCCCTGCAGCCAGGAGGGCCTGAAACCTCCTTTTCTTGTTTTCAAGGAACGCTGAGATCTGCACCTGGTCACCTGAGTCCAGGCGCTGGGGCTTTAAGAGGGACACCACGTGTCACATGACCGCAGTGATGCCCCGTGCTGGCAGAGGTGGGAATGCTGGAGCTGATGTTGCTGCAGGAAGGTAAGTTTGCGAGTGTCTCGGTGCCCGTGCCTGCCCGCTGGCCCCGGGGTTGGAAAGCAGCTGGCGCCAAGGGACCCAGTTTCCCAGGGCTGGATCATTCTGTTTGCGCTGGGTTTTCTCTGCCAGCGGAACGGGGACAGGTGGCCACGCTGGGAATTAACACAGGACCTGGGGGACCCAGCAGGACCCAGGAGCCTCGGGGTGGCAGGGTACCGGAGAGCAGGCATCTGTCCCACTCTGGAGGGCCGCTCCCACATGTGAATGCTGGAGGGGGAAGCCCAGCTGGGTCCTGGGCAAGGGTCAGACTCGTACCAGGGCTGACCCTGGAAGGACTGAGCTGAACGTGCCCCGCCCCAAGGAACTGTTGGGTACTGGAAGACCCTGTCCCGCTCTGCCTGTGAAAGGGCTGGGACACTAGCTGTTGGTGAAACAGGCTCGGGGGGGTGGCGAGGGGCTCAGCCCGGCCTCCTGGTGTGGAGTCGGGGCTCCTGAAACTGGCCCTGCGCGTGTTTCTGCCTGGGGATCTCTGGGCTCAGCATCATTACCCCCAACTGACAGCTGGGGAAACTGAGGCACGGAGGGGCTGAGGCTTGTGCTTACTGTTTGGGTGTGACAGCGAAATCAGCTGGAGGTGCTGGCACTTAACTCCTCTGCAGATCAGACTCTGGGTGTCCCACGCCAGCACCCAAAGTCCGTGGGCACTCTGGAAAACATGGGTGACTGGGCCCCAGCAAGTCCCATCCCCCATCGCCCAGCCTGGGACCCCAGCAGTGAACGTGTATGTAATGAGCCCTGCTGCTCAGGCCTGTGCCTCTCCTGCCCCCGGGCTGGCAGGGCTGCTGGGCACAGCGCTCCCCAACCCCACGGGGTGGCCAGGCTGCTTGGGGGTCCGCATTCCCATCTGTCAGGGAGGAGCCCGCGGCGTCTCACAGCAACGGGCTGGTTCTCAAAACGCGCCACGCCACGGAGCTGCTGCCAGGGCCCCATATCTGAGCCCTGCTCCGGGGTGGCCGGAAGTTCGATTTGCATCACTCCTAAGTTCCCAGCGGGAACCTGGCATCGAATACTGAAGTGACAGAGAGATTCTTCACCCCCGTTGAGTCTCCCCTGACTTTGGAGAGTCGCTCGCTGCCCCCCCAGCCATGGCTTCCTCCTGGGGCCGAACAGCAATGGGGGATCCTGCCCTGGGCCCGAGAAGGGGGACGGAGGCTGGTGATGGTGCAGTGCCCTGCCGCGTCCCCGGGTGCCTGCTGAGCTGGGCACTGGAGATTCCCTGCGGGAAGCCCGGCTGCCTGCCCTGTGGCCCTGCCCAGCCCGCACCCAGCAGGGCTGAGCTGCCAGCCCAGAGCGATGGGGGAAGGGGCCCTGCCCAGCCCGCCCCGCACCCCAGCTCCGGTGCTGGAGTCGCTTTCCTGCCTTCCCTTGGTTGGTTTGCTGGTGGAGTGTGGAGCGATGTGCGTGGCTGGATCCGGCCTCGGGAGATGCCGGGGGAGCTTCGCCGCCTTTCCCAGGGCTCCCTCCGCCCCCCTCGCTGGAGAGCTCTGAGCCAAATGTCCTAGGGGGGCCCTGCATGGGCCCCTCCACCTCCCACCAGCACAGGGTTATCCTGGGAGCTGCTGGTTGGGCCAGGGGTCCGGGAGGCACAGTCAGGGCCAGCTGGGTGTCTGTATTCTAGGGGCCCATCACCCTGGCTTCTGGGCCTGAGGTGGCCTGGCCTGTCAGGCTGGAGCTGCTGCTTCGCAAACCCTGACTCCCTCCCAGCTGTGCGATTCCCTCCCCATTAAACACGGGGCGCAGAACGGCACCGTGCAGTCTGACTCCAGCCAGGCGGTGAGTCTCTTTGCAGGCTGGGCAAGTGGCTGCGGCCCTCCCCTGAAGCCAGGGCCCCAGAAGGGGGCCGCAAAGCTCCCCAGGAAGGAGCGATAGCGTGGAAGGCGCAGGCCGGAGGGTCTTTTGCAGGAATCCAGCAAGAGTGGAGCGTCCTGGGGGCCGGGCTGAGAGCTCCCAGCTCGCCTGGCTTTCCTTGGTGCTCCACAGCGGCGTATTATTGCCTAGGCCAACAAATTCGCAGGGGCGGCAAATTTATAATAGCAGCATTTTTGTAATCGCAGCATCTACCAATCATAGCGCATATTGAATGCGGGGTTTGGGATCCATGCGCGGTCCCGCGCTATACAGACGCGCGGCCAAGCGAGGGGCTGCTGTCCTGGTCATTTTATTTATAATAAAACTTGTAAATGTTCAATTATTTTAATGATCTTTAGATTCATTTTAGTTCAAACGAATTTGTAACAAAACTAAAACAAGTTCATATGGGGCCGGGGGGCGGCAAAATCATGAATCCACCCCTGCTTCTCCTTCCTCTGGGGACCTCCCGGCCTCACCCTGGGCATGCAAATGAGAGCGCTGGGCTGGAACCCACGGCTGCCAGGCCTGGGCGGGTGGGGAGCCGGAGCAGAGCAGCATGGCTCCCAGCGGGCTGCAGGGAGGGGCTGGGGGCCTGGCCGGGCTGCAGGAGCATCCCACTGCTCTGCCCCACCTCCCAAAGCCCCCCCACAGCTCCACTGGCTCTTCCCAAGCCCTGGCTGGGAGCCCTCGGGATCGCAGGTGCGTGGAGGGGACAGTGACCGTGATGGAGAGAGGAAGCAGCACAGACAGGGGAACAAGTCCCAGGGTGCCCAGCCTTGCCAAGGGGGTAACCACAGAGCCGCCCAGGCGCGCAGCCGCCAGGAGGGGGTGGTATACGCAGTGTTTGCACAGAGCTCCCCCCCGCAGGGTCACTGCGCTGGGAACCCCTGGCCCAGACAGTCGCGGTGGGTGGCTGAGAAGGGATGGTTGGCTCAGCACATCCCCCGTGCCAGCCCCGTTCACCTCGCCACCTTGCACAGTCACGGCTGGGTGTTACCCCCCCGCTGCTGCAGTCTGAACTCCAGTGGGTCCTTCTGCCAGCTGATGAATCCCTCTCCTGGGAGCGTGTGCTAGGTGGAATGAGCCTGTTTATGTAACTGGGGACTTGCTGATCTCTCCTCGTTCCTGTTGTGTGCCAGGGGCTTTCGCCTCCATCCGCTCCTTCCCGATGAGTCAGGAGCTGCCATGGCGCACCGAGAGGCCAGGCACTTGGCTCCCAGCGGGACCCTGCATCCAGACAGGGAAATTTGGCACCAAACATCACAGGCCTGGCAGAGAAGGGGGGGGGGTCCTTCTATTTCCTTATAGCCCTGCCTCCATTTCCTCCTCCCCTCGCTCCTCTCTTCTCACTCCCCACCTTCCCACTTGCCACCCTCCGTTTGTGTGCCAGGACCCCCCATTGCCACTTGAGGCTGCTTGGCACGGCTCCCCCTGCCCCCTTGAGGGGTCTGTGCAGCACCTTGCCAGCTGATGCCAGGGTACCATGGGCAATGGCAGGGTGGATGCTGTGCTGGCATACCAGCCTCCCTTGGCCGTCCCTCCCGGCTGCCTCAGTGCCCCCGGATCTCCTCGCCTGGCCCCCCTGGGGCATGGGGCACTTCAGGGTGTGAGACCCCAGCTGGCCTGGCTTTCGATCTGATCCTTCCCAGGGTCGTCGCTGGAGCAGCTCCTGCATTCACATCGCCATGTGCTGGGACCCGGCAAGGACTCCACCCCTTCCCTCTTCCTGGTACCTACTCCCCCACCTGCCCCCAGAGCCGCTGGTGCCGCCTGGAGATGGGGGCAGAGCCAGGGGCCAGTGCCAGGCTGCAGAACAGGGGCTTTCTGTCTCCAGGTTTCTAATGCATCCTCACCCTGGTATCTGGGTACCTGCCCAGGGCTTCCCCACCCCCGCCTGGCCCTCCATCCTGAAGCTTCATCCCACCCTGGCTGAGGTCCTCCACGGCCCCCACCTGGGCCCGTTGAGCTAGGGACCCGATAGCCATTTCCTTTCAGCCCTCTGCTCCCTTTGGCCCTCGTTTGCTCCCTCCCCCATGTGCCGACTGGCCTGTCCGCACACCTCTGCATTGGGAGCAGCCCCCGGATGATGCTGCGCTCACCCCCCCCCCCGGGGAGGGGAGCCGTCGCCATCCCACCCTGTTCGCTCCCCTTCCCCCACTCGTTCCACGTGCTCCGGAGGGGAGAAACCGGCGTGTGTGGCAGAGTCTGCGTAGGCAGCCAAGCGGCAGCTGAGCAAGGCAGGGGGCTGCGCGCAGGAGCATTACTACACGCAGGCTGTAATTACCGCTAATTTCCTAAGTGCAACAGAAAAATGAGAACCCAAACAAAGCCCAGGCGGAGCGGGATGGGGCAGGCACAGCCGGCGACGCTGGGCTGGGGGGGACAGCGGGGCAGGTCCTCCAGCACCGTGCTGGCACATGGCTCCTGGCCACCTGCCCAGGCTGGGATGTGCCTCTGGGGCCGATCCCGCTCCCCTGCTCTGCTGGCACAGATGGATTTGGCCTTGCAGCACCCCTGGGGGAGGGAAACTGAGGCCCGTGGCTCTTCTTCCAGGGCTCGGGCAGCCGCCCGGAGCCCCTGCCCCTTCTCTGAGATTCTGCAAGGGACCCTGGATCCACCGAAGCTGCCTGGGCTTTCAGGTTGCTCCCCAGCGTGGTGCCACAGAATGTGCTGCTCCGGCCCCCCAGGATGGACCCTGTCGCCAGAACGGCCCCCCCCCCAGCTCTGCGGGTCCCCTGCAGACAGAGCTGGGACCTGGGGTGATGGGGTAACACCCCCCCCACTGTGCAGCGGGGGCTGGGCAGTGACAGCCACCCGCTGTTCTGCGGGGATGACTGTGGCACTGCAGGAGTCCCGGGGGGTCATCGCCAGGCCGGGGCGTTGCTGGGGCCCGGTGCTGAGGCAGCCCCTGGGCCTGGCTTCTCTTTGTTCAGATCTCACGTTTCTCAACCTTGCCGTGAGGTGGAGCGACGTCTCTCCCCAGCCAGCCTAGCGCCCGGCTCTGCCAGCCGGGGCCAGGCCCTGTGCAGTCTGCCAGCCAGCGCACTCCGGGCCCCAGCCCCTGCCCAGTTCCCCCCAGGGCCGTGGGCTCC